CCCGCGGCTCTGCACGGAGCTCTACCACTGTCTCTGGACTCAATGGGAAATCGAGGTTCAAGGACAAGCATAGCTTGTAACATGATGGGAATCTGTGTCTACCTCGCATTGGACATTTCTGCTTTGTTGATTTAGTGATTGTTAATCTGTCCCACCTCTTACTTAGAGCTGTTTTTAGGTGGCCTGTAAATAGGGTAAAGACATGATTCCCCCCTTTTAAGGACTTATAGTTTAGTTGGGGAGATGGGGTTAATGACCCCAGTGCATAATACAAAATGGTGACTTATTTTTAGCCTTTTAGGAGAAAGGTTTTTACCTGCAGTTGTGGTCATCAGGAAATCTTGATGGTTGAAAAAGAGCTGCACATATGAGTTTAGTACAGGTATGGGTATAGAGATGAACTTTTGGAGGAAGTTCATGAACAGGGAAATTCCCCATAAACGGTGGAATGTGGAATGTTGCCTAGTTGTGGAATGCTGGCACACTGACCCACCAGTATGGGGCGCGGGGGTGCTTCGGGGTGACTAACCAGGGTTGCATTGAGAACATATGCCCTGCTAAGCAAGAGGAAGAATTCAAATGGAGAGAACTGGGAATTGTGGATGATTTTAGATGTGAAAATAGGATGGAATAGATCAAGTTCAGAATGATTCCTCTAGCAATAGGATTTAGTCTGAAATGAAAGGAGACGTGACGAGAGTCCAAGGAGTCCAGCCAGGAAACAGCTGATGAGACGTTGGACTTGAGAACATACACAGCTGTTCAGATGAGTGCGAGAGGCATTTTGAAGCAAAATGATCAGCTTTTCACAGCTGCCTGGAGAGGCAGGGCTGAAGGTAACAGAAAAGGAATTAGGAAGGGAGTTGATTTGGGGAGTAGTTGAGAACTTTAATACCTGTGGAGTTTGCAGTGATGGTGAAAGACAGAGCCACAAAGAATAGACTGGGAATTTATTATCATGGAGCTGCTGGTGGAAGCAGTCAGAACAAGTGAACTTTCTGAGAAAGAATGAAGCAAGCCGGGAACTACATTGTAGGGCTTTTTTTGTTGTTTTAATTCTTGAGAAGGTATTTAATCTTGTAGTTGTACTTTTGGTTTAATATGAGTCAAGAGTAAATACGAACAAACATGAAGTGAGACTCATATCTGTTACTCTCTGTGTCCATATGACGCACATTTCATCAGCACTGTGTCAGAAGGGTTCCATGAAATGTTATTTTTCGATTTTTTTACTGTGGTTGGGTAGGTGAATTCACCTGTCATGTTAATCAGGTCAGTTAACCCTGTGTGTACTCACGCAGTTGTGGTTGTGTCCTCCACTCTTTTCTTTTTCCAGCTTGTTGGAGCTTCCTAGTTGACTAGACCATTTTCTCATAGATTCAACTTCCAGTGTCAAAAATTGCCATCTTTTGTGTGCATGGATGTTATCTTTAATGCTCTTTTTACATGAGCTGCGGGTGATGATGTGAAGGGGCAGTGAACACCTGGCAGCAAATTGCAGGGAGTTAGGGGTGGGATGAGGGTGAAGGAATTGGCTGAGTTCCCGTCTAAAGCAAGAGGGTAATAACAATTTTGCCTTGATCACTGTCATTGTCGTAAATACAGAACGAACATTGGCAGCAATTTCCATGGCAGCTAGAAGTTGTCTTTCCTACTTTGCTTTTATTGAGACCCATTTCTTTGTAAGTGTAGAGCAGGACTCCCTTGAAATTCCTTGTAATGGGATTTTGTTATGGGTACCCATCAGTTATAAAAGGGGACATTTAAGGGTGACTGGTTAGCTTAGTTGGTTCGAGTGTGGTGCTGATAATACCGGTTGCCAGTTCGATCCCCACATGGGGCACTGTGAGCGGTGCCCTCCTTAATAAAAGAGTCAACTATGTCATTGTAGCGTGAAAGCAATGTGTAACCAATGACCATGACTGTTCCCCAATAAAATTTAAATAAAGGGGGGAGGAAATTTGTTCAAATGTGATGTATGACTACAGAATGATGCAGATACTCTATAGAGGCTTCACTTGTGATAGAAAATTCTTGGTGGGAGTACAAAAGGTGTTGACCTGGTCTGTTGGCCTGGCGTTGGACCAGTGGTTTTATCTTTAAAGAAAGTGGATAGATGGTAGGTGATGATGTGTATGAGAAACATGCTAGATCCTGGGTTTACCCAGGACCTGCCCGAGCAAACTTCGTTAGTTCTGTCTGGGGTTCAGAGGAGGTTTCTTTGTGTTCAGAAAATTGAACCCTTTTCTGTTCAGTTTCTCTGAGAGCACCTGCAGAGCCCAAGCTTGACTAGGTTTGTAAGGCGCTGATGCCTCACTGCCTCCTACTGCACAGTGGGCAGTGTCAGAGGGCACCTGAGCCATGAAAGCGAGCCATTGGACTTGCCACCCCCCAGAATGGTTTTTTTTTTCTTTTTTTTTTCAGAATGGGTTTAAGGGTCCTGCATGTGACACCTAAGACATCAGGAGACTCATGATGCTTCCCCTTCTCCCACCCCCATTCTCTGATTTTAGAGGACGCTTGATGAACATAAGCAAAAAAAAGAACCATTTTGGGCCAGCCAGGTGGCTCAGTTGGTTAAGAGTTGACTTAAGAGCGGGAGCTCTGAGCAACAGGGCCGCCCATTCAATTCCCACATGGGCCAATGACGCTGTGCCCAAGCTGAGCTGTTGCTGAGCTGCCAACAGGTGGCAGGATGGGTCAGCTGGTGTAACAACAAGATTGCCTGCTCTCACCAGCTGAGCCATCCTGCCACCTGCTGGCAGCTCAGTGGCAGCTCAGCTCGGGTGCAGCTTGGGTGCAGCTCATTGGCCCATGTGGGAATCGAACTGGCGACCCTGTTGCTCAGAGCTCACACTCTTGAGCAAGTTCTTAACCAACGGAGCCACTCGGCTAGCCCCAAAGAACCTTTGTTGAGAGTCAAAAAAGTTCTCTGCCTGCACGGAAAGAAAAGATGGGGTACAGCTTTTAAATGAGATGAGGGCTCTTCCTTTCTCTACCATGCCTCCTTTTCCAAAAAGTAAAACCTAGAGACAGATTGTTTCCGTTTCCTATTGATTTCTGACTGGGGTGAAGAATGTGCAAGTGTTAAAATATATTTTCTAACAGCAACAACCTGGATGAGGGCTTAATGATTGTGTGGGCAAGCAGGTCTTCAGAATTGACTTTTTTTACATGAGAAAGTGGACAGCAAGCTGCTTTTCCTTGCTTTTCCATGACAGTATTTCTCTTGGTGCTTCTCCCTGCTTTGTATGCTGGAGATGTTGGGATGTGTCGAGAAATTTAGCAACATCTCTGTTCTCCCCCAGGAGAGGATCCCTCACTGAAACGTGGGGAAAGAAATGCACAGAAAACAAAATGTGGGAAAGTACCACTACTTACTGGGGCAGCATTGGCCCCCAAGCGCTGATGAGGCTGCATGTCCGAAACAGTTTCATTTAGGTTGCGTAAGTTGGAAGAAACTAGAAACCAAATTGTGATGGTGTCCCGCTTTCTCTTGTTTCTCCCCCAAACTGGAACCTGAGTGAAGCATCAGGGGCTCCCTGGGGAGCAGGAGCGAGGAGAGATTGCACCCTGCAGCTCTCCCCGCAATGCCATGCTGCAGTCAGTGTGTAAGGGGGCCTGTCTGTGACAGTGGTCACCTTCCTTGGAGCCAGAGCCCTGACCCCAGGAGTCTCCGGCCAGAGCCTGCTGTCCCCAGGCAGATGTTGAGTTTCGCAAACATTATACAGGACGCTAATGCGCTCTCTCATTTATAATCCACTGGAGCGTCCTAATGGAAATGGATTTGTTTATTAAAATACATAATCTGAAATGACATGGACAGCATCACGTGTGCTTTTAACCTTGGGTTAACACTCAAGGGTTACAATAACAATGCCTTCAGCAACT